ATCCATCCCCCTCATAAATGAGAGAATAAAGATATCTTTTTAAATTAAATGCTAGCCCTTAGATTGAAAGTGCATCTAATAGTCTATTTTCATCCCTTGTTTTCTTTGCAATAAGCCATCTTTCACCATTGGATCTAGCTTCTTAAGATCATCTTACAGTTAAGAATGCTCATTGCCAAAGATTGGATTTTTAATGTTGTTAGAACCAAGTGAAAAGACCATTTTACCCCTAATTAGAAAGTTTTCAGTTTCTAAGCCATTTTCTTATAAAATAATGCTCCCTTGTCCATTTTTGTGATTTTAAAGCACAAAAAATCATGAAATAATATGAAATTAAGATCCAAAAATTTTCATAAAAATTTGACCTAAGGAAGGTCAAATTACGAGATTGCCCTTAAAGGTTATTTTGGTAATTTCACACCTCCTAAGGTGCTGCTAAAGTTTTCAATGCACCAAAAATCATCAAATAATTCAAAAACATGATCTAAAATGTTTCACAAAAAATCAACATCGAAAAAGTCAAATTATAAAAGTACCCCTAAAAAATATTTTAGTGATTTCACACCTTCTGAGGTATGATCAAAGTTTTTATAATTCTTAAAAATTATCAAATAATATTAAATCATGATCTGTAACTTTTCAAAAAATTTTAACATCAAAAAGGTCAATTTACACAAATACCCTTAAGGGTATTTTCGTTATTTCACACCTCCCAAGGTGTGATCCAAGTTTTTAATTCATCAAAAATCATTGAAAAATATTTAATTATGATCTAAAAGTTTTAGAAGCATTTGACTTCGAAAAGACTAAATTACAAAAATATCTCTAAGGGCATTTTAGTAATTTTACTCTTTTCAAAGTGCAATCAAAATTTTCAATGCTTTAAAAGTCATAAATTTTAATTTAAAATCTACATTTATTCTAACTAGTTGTGAATTTTGAAAGTTAACCCAAGTTCTAACCATTTTGATCATTTTTGACCAATTTTGATCAAATTTGATTTTATTTGACTGGTTTTGATAAGGTTTGACCAATTTTAATATTAAGAACTTGTAAAAATTAAAGAAATATTGGATATGGACTAGGTCAAATTTTAAGAGCTTCACAAATGATTGGATTTTGCTTGGACAAAATTAAGTGTCTACAAAATACACCTCTTTAAGTCACTCGTTGGAAAAAAATTGCTCAAAATTATATTAAGACAATGTGGATCTTTTTAAAGGTATGTTACATATACATATATTTAAAGTTTTTGTTCTTTTCTGAATACAAATTTTAATATGATCAACAATTGTCTAGTTTTTGTTTCCCTTTACATATATATATATTTATATATATAATGTTATCTCAAAAACTAAATCATATTGGATGATTCCTACTTTATAATTGATTTTGGCTGATATCTAAATAAATTCAAAAATGAAAGCGAAAGTGAACCTAGCTATTTTGTTTACTAAACTTCTCATTGAAAAATAGCTTGTCTATTCTAGAAGAAAGATTCTTAAAAATTTATAAGCAAATTGATTGCAAGTTGACTAAAAATAGGTAAAAATATATGGCATATATATATATGTATTGCATTTTATGGTTCATATAGGTAAATAAATCCAAATGAGTTTTATATAGTTTTTTATTATGTTTTCAATGTTATATATATATAATTTTATCGTAAAAACTAAATCTTGTTAGATGATTCCTATTTTATGTCAATTTTGGCTGAAAAATGAATAAATTAAAAAATGAAAGCGAAAGTGAACCGAGTTGTTTTGTTTACTAAACTTCTCATTGAAAAATGCCTTGTCTATTTTGGGAGGAAGATTCTTAAAAATCTGTAGGCAAATGAATTGCAAGTTGATAAAAAATAGGTAAAAATATATGGCATATATATAATGCATTTTATGGTTTATATAGGTAAATAAATCCAAATGAGTTTTATATAGTTTTTTATTATGTTTTTAAAGTTATATTATTCTAAATTTTTTATTTGAGTTATAAGACAAGTATACTTTATCTAATAATGTATACCCCTATGTGATGAAACAAGTGTAAGCTTAATATAAGAATTGTCATTGCCATTTGTACCAAAGCTATCTCAAGAGCAGTAATTGTCCAATTGATGTGGATCCAAAAGATTGACAATGGCTAATTGCCAATAAATGAACTACAAATAAATTTAAGGTAGTTTGGTTATTGAATAAATTTAATTATATTTTGTTATTTATGTTATAAAAATATGTTTTTACCATAGCGTAGGCTCAAAGTGAATGAAACACAATTAATGGGGGAAATCAATAGATAGGATCCATTATTGGCACAAAGTCAATATTGTTCAAAAGGCATATGAAATGGTAAAATCAATTTTAATATACAATAAAAAGTCAAATTCATCCTTATTTTAGATCAATTTTTTAATTAATAGTACTTTTACTTGGTTATTTACTTTTATGTTCTTTAGAAAGATAAAGATTCAGAAGAATGGCTAGATGCTATGACACTTTGGAAGGCAACGCAAATGAGATCTAATGGAACTTGGTTTGTTCCAAATGGAGAAGAAATAATGGTATAGAAATTATTTAAAATTTTGTTTTTGATTTAATACTAAATTTATTAATTTGATAAATTTTAATTGTTATTCATTTCCATGTAGAACAAACTTTAAGAAAAGGGTGAGAAAAATCATAAGAAGATTTCATTTGAACTAATACCACTAGTGGAGCATTTTGCTCTTGTTTTGGGGACAAAGTCAAATTACTCATGTGGTGTAGGTGTTAGAGGGATCACATCTACCTCTCATGAAAAAAGGTTGCATTATTGCAAAAGCTGAGGCTGCAAAGAAATGTGCAAAGAAAAAGATTGAAAGGCTTACTGAAATAAAAAAAAAGACCAACATTAAAAATATGGAAGCTAAATGTAAAGAACTTGTAGCCCAAGATAGGTTATTGAGAAACAAACTATGGAATTGAAATAAGTGAAAGATGTATTTGTGTGTTTAGCAAGTATATGATTAATTTCTAGTCTATTATCCAATGCATCTGTATCAAATTCTGTAAGTAATGATGTAAGTACAATAGTTAAATAATTAATGTCACTTATTAATAATATTATAACAATTATATAAGATAATTTTTTTACTATTCATTGACTTTTTTTTTTTGTTTGTTTTGTAGGAAAATAGTGGAGAGTAAACTTTAGTGGGATCATCTATGGATTTCTAGCTTAGATTTCCACTTGGACATTATCATATTTGTAGACTAAAACTTTTTTGTTAGTAATTATTTAGTTTTTTGGTAGAAAAATATTAATATAGTTTTATTGATAATTATATTTTGGATATTGCTTTTTTGAGATTGGATATAGGAAATTAAAAACATGACATATATATATATATATATATATATCGTTACTTATACAATAGTGACGGAGTTGTTTGTAGCAATAAGTGATGACTTTAAAATTGGTCACTATAAATTTTAGTCACAAAATTTTATATTTTTAGTGACAATTTTTTCTTCACTAAAAATTAACAATTAAGAGTTGTAATGTTGTCATGTATTATTTATATGTAAAAAAAGACATTATAGTAAAAAGTTTTTATTATGTAATTTTAGATTCGCAAATCAAATACAGGGATCTAATATTTCCAAGATAGGAAGAATCACCCCTTGCTAGGAATCAATAGTTTTTCAAGGATCATTCTCCCTGCAGGAATAATAGATTCCGCAAACCAAAGCCCCTATTAATAGCAATAAAAAAAATGTGATATACCCTTGATATCCAATGGGCCTAATATAAATAATCAAACTTGAAGCCAATCATGAGAATCAATCTTTTTTTATTCAATAAACAAGCCTAATGACCGAGCTTAAATAGATCGATTTTTATCTTAAGTCAATTTTAAGCTTGAAAATTAAAACTCAATCGAGTTTGATATAAATTTGAAATGACAAATTTTAAGTCAAATTCAAGTTTTTTTTACTGTATCAAACTTTTTTAAATTGATCTTTCTATGTAAATATATATATATATATATAAGTTTTTCTTTGCTAATGTTGATATGTCAAGTTGCATTTTAATGGTGTTTTCCTGGCACGTTTTCATTTATGAATTTCTTGCTCCCATGTCTTCAAAATCCTTTATAATCAAATACTTCTACGGTTGCTTTTGAGATAATATTATTGTAATGTTTTGCCTGTTAACCATTTTTTTTGTCTGTATCGATCCCTCCTAAAGTGTTCGTAAAGATGCTAATAATTGTAAAAATAGTAGGTCCACACATAAACAATTAAGTGATAGGGAATTTTGTATGTCTCCTTATCCTAATGGTTTTTTCTTGTCACTTAATTGTTTTTCCTTAATGCAAACAAAAATACAATGCTCAGTTCATTCTTTAGCACAAATTATACCGAAAAAAAAAAATTCATATTTCAAATCATTTCAGGTGTAAGCGCACCTTTCTAATAATGTTTGATTTTTCTTTGCATTGCTGTTTAAAAGAATGCAAAAATGAAGTGTTGAAATCATAATCTCTTACAATAGTAGATCTGAATAGCATATTACTAGAAGTATTATTTTGTTTTTATAGCAAATTAACTTTAGTTAAATTATACTTCGTTTCTGTTGAACTATACAATTACCGGAATTTTTGCTTACTATATTACTTATTTGAATATAATATTTATGATACAAATTTATAGATTACAAATAATTTTTTTATGCACGTTTTATTTCATTCTAAATTGTTAAAACAATAAAATAAAAAAAATTATATTTAATACTGCAGCAACAGACAGGATATGGCAATATATATATATATATATATATAATTACAAAATTTAGAAGCCAACATATCAATACCGGACATATTTTAAAAGGAAAATGCAAATAACTCAGCTTTTATTAATCAGTGAAGTGATTATCAATCACCACCCAGGCCAACAAATGAAAAGTTGAAAAGGCTCAAACTTCCTTGTTAGGAGATTTTAAAGACGGAAAGTAACAAATTAAATGGTAGAGCGAACTATGAAATCAGCAGAAATATTCACAAGGACAACCAATGGAGATCTGACATAGTGGAAACCATCTGACCAAACTATTTCTCCAAAATCATATCTTCCTTGAGACTTCTTTAGTGGGTTCAGAGTGATGTAATATGAGATTTGTTGCTTCAAGGGTGAAAAGATTAAGACCCTTGGCCAGATGACTACCTCCACTCCATCAGGCTCCTTGGCGGTACCATAATAAATTGCAGTCTTCCCCCAACCCACGTTTCGAACGGTCCTTTTGATGGTCAAGGTGGATTGGAGATTTGAGACACTGATGGATGGATAGTTTACATTTGCATTTGTTTTAAACACATTCTTGCAGCTGGTGTCGACACCAGGAGAGGGAAGAACTATCCTCTTTATTCGTTCTTGGGTATAATCGATGTTGCAAAGAAAGAGAATGTAGTCACTGGTTTGCATGTCATAAATAAGCCCTGGATCCATTGCTTTTAAAGGGTTTATGTGGCCAGCACCAATGTCAAAAGGACTCGAACCTGCCACTGATCCACCGGCCAGAATACTATCATGGCTTGTGTCTCTTTTAGAAGCTGGGAAGCCAAAACAAAACATTATTGTCAGTGTAACAGCTTCCTGCTTATACCAAACTTTAATTTCCACATCATTATGAAAATTACAAATTTAATATTTTTGCTCCTTATCTTTCATTGCCACAACGAGTGCGCATTTTAGGCATTAATAATAGGAAGTAGAAAGATATTAATTGAATCGCATTTCATCAGTATGATCAACCGGTGATTAAGGCATGAATAATGAAACCACATAGCCTAGAGTAACATATGGTATACGGGATGCAGAACACCTTTTCTTCCTTATTTCTTTTTTACCTGTGGTCATGATAGCAGATCTAAGGGCTGCGGGTGACCACTCTGGATGGACAGATTTGAGAAGAGCGACTACTCCTGAAACGTGAGGACAAGACATTGATGTTCCTGACTGAAAATTCCACTTCACAAAACGGCCATCGCTCGGCTGCAAAGTTGGAGGAGTTTGGGAAGGCCATGCTGCTAATATATTGATTCCTGGAGCAGTGATGTCTGGCTGTTATATAAAAGCGACAAAAAAAAAAAAACAGTTAGCATGCTAATTATTATGGGCCTGTTTCTGCACTAGTACCAAAAGAAATCATGCATGTTAACCATAAAATTAATTAAAAAGAATCAAACCGCTAGCTAGAAGATTACAATTAAAACCCATTACTTCTGCTTTCGTATGCTAAAGCTATACATGCCTTGAGAATGTCAGGTGATATTGTGCTTGGTCCTCTAGAAGAAAAATATACGACGGTAGGTGCCGGTGACTTTCCAATAATTGTTTTAGTTGGTGCTATTTTCACTACAGGCAGCCTACATTGAACACAAATTTTATGTTAGAAACCCTTTCATTATGATCATGACAGGAAATTATTACATATATATACCGTGTATGTTTGCTAAAAAGAAAATAGAAGATGTACTTTAGTTTCTCATCTTTCGTTATGGGAAAATTCTATTTATTACTTTTAATTATAGCTATTCTAATTAGATGGCAGATCCACCCTTAAAGTAAGACATCTACGAACACCCCTAAAAATAAAAAAAATAAAAAAAAATTTTTTGTTGGACATTTCAAAATTTTTTTGTACACCTTTTCGGTTGATAAAATTGGTAGATTAATTTGACGGTTTTTCATATAATTATAAGCGAACACCAAAAAAAAAAAAATCTTAAATCCGTTACTAATAGTAGGGGTGGGAGCAGGACTTCTTTTGTCAACACAGAAATAATTTTAGGAAATAATTTCTACTAGCGAGGTAGGATCATGTAGTCCATGTGAAGCAATTTAAGTGAAGATGACTTTGCTTACTTGGGGGATTCCGACAGATAGTTCCCTATTACAGTCCCCTGACTAATGTCGACATGTAGTGTAGGGATAGTATCTTCAACTTCTGCAATCGGCTTTGTCAAGGGTTCTGCAAAGATCAAACCCGATCCGTTTGCAGTCTTAACAGCTTCTTGTGCCATTTCATACACTAGTCCTGGAGTGTAAAAGCATAGGACTATTTTCCCAGTAGCTAACTTTTGTTTCCAGTTCTCCGAGTTGCACACTCTGCACATAAAGTGCGGCATGTAGGAACACCACGTAAGACAAGTTTGAAAGTGATTTTGTTAAACGATTAAGCCTTTGTACTGTGGCATTCAATGTATGCATATATATATATATATATATCACTGACAGATTCAGAGAAAGAGAGAGAGAGAGATAACCCATCATAAAAATAGGTGACTGCACTCGCCAGTTTTCCTTTGATTTCTTTGCTAATTATGCTTTCGCCCTGTACAATTAGGACTAAATCAATGCAAGAACCACAATATGCATAAAGTAGACAAACAAAACAACAAACCAAGCATAGTTAGGAAAAATATTTTGGTCAACAGCTATATATAATTTCTGACACTTTATTGAATACTTTCCTAGGTGAAGGATAAAGAGTAGCAATCATCAATATTCATATGTTTGGTTCACTCAATAAGTCAAAAGAAATTGGTCTGCCAGTTAGATGGCGTATTTTTCATAGGGACTATTTCAATTATAGAAAGTCATTTTTTTTTTTTGGAATCATAACTATTGGCGGAGATCATATCAATTACCATGATGGAGAAGTTGTTGTCAAGGACTATCTCAGTTGGAAAAGTTCGATCAATAGTGGAAGCAGCCACGCAAAGGGACCATGGTGCAACATTTTGGACTAGTGATGGCTCCGGACCATCATTTCCGGCAGAGAATACTACGGCAATTCCAAGTTGCATTGCATGGAATGAGCCAATATCAGCACTTGATGCGAAGAATGGGGGCAAAGGAGGCGTTGCACCAAACGAGGCAGAGATAACATGAACTCCGTCATGCAAAGCATCATCAAAAGCTGCAAGGATATCTGCTTCAGTGCACCTTCCTACACGATTCTTACCCCAGCATATTTTGTACACTGCAACCCTAGCCCAAGGTGCTCCACCTCTAGCAGTGCCCTGGCCAATGCCAAAGAAGCTTGCATTTTTTACTATAGACCCAGCTGCTGTTGAAGCTGTGTGCGTTCCATGACCAAGAAAGTCTCTAGCTGATCTATATTCTGGGTTACTGCTCATGTTCAGAGGCCCATATGCCTGTTCAAACCCTTTGAGATAGTAACGTGCACCAATTAATTTGCGGTTACATGCCTTTTCAGGCTCAAACTTTTCTCCTTTGACACATACTCCTTTCCAGGTTGATGGAATTGGTCCCATGCCAGGCATTTCCTGGAAACTTTCAGATTCTGGCCATACGCCTTAAAGATAGAATAGGCATTTTAGACGTTAGAAAGGATACGGTTGAAATAACAAATAGTTAATTTATTTCTCTCTTTTTTTTTTTCCTAAGCTAAATCAAGATAAAGCAGATCATACTAGCTATATATAGATACGATAAAAAATGTATACGGATGTTAAAGCAAATAATGCACACTATGTTAATTACAAGATAAATTAGTAATTAATTATTATTGTTTAGGAGTTCAAATCCTATGCCATTGTATCTTTTCAAACCATTAAAGAAGATATATATATGTGTGTGTGTATATATATATATATATATGAAGCAAATAAATTCGGAAATGGCAACAACTGCCGTTATTTGTTGGATATAATATTTATATCAAACACAAGGAAAGATCCTACCAAAATATATATACTTTTGAGAAAGATCATCTAGGGAGCTCCATGAAACTGCTGCTGCAAAGTTAATTACTGTTAAACATGTCCAATTGCTTTCATATACAGCAATAATCTCTGTTTACATTGCAGAAAAGAATGAAGCTGCTAACTAATGCAGGGATTGAGTTTATTTGAACTTGATAGATAAATAAAGGAAAATATAATGGTTGAATACCTGTGTCAAAGATCCCAACAACTACCTCATGACCGTAGGCAAACTGAAAGGGAGTAACTTCACTATCATCCAGAGTAAGGCCTAGAAAATCCCAGCTTCTTGTTGTGTGCAACTTTAGTGTCTTGCTCCTGAAGACTGATACTACCTTTTCCATCTCTGCATGCAATATTTTCTTCTCATAATTGCAACATTTTGTAATCATCGGAAATTTACTTCAAGCACCCATAAATTTTTTAAACTATGAGGTATTTATATGTATTCTATTAGAAAAGGAAGAAAAAAGTAGACTAGCTAATTACTAGCTAAGGTGGTTGCTTGAGACGAATTGAGCTTTGCTGAAAAGCCGGATAAACTATTGCTGTAGCTATAGAGGATGGAGCGTTTAGCATCTTCTTCACTGAAAGAAAGTTAGAGAGGAAAATGTATAGATTAAAACATGTATACTATATTACAATATGTGTTCAGTCAGAATAGATTAAGTGAAAACCTAGCAAACACATTGGAGAGGACTTGAATATGAAACTTTGAAGTAAGGATGGGGTCATGGAATTGGTTGATTCCTAAATAAACTATGTAAACCTGCATGTATAAAACAATATGACTCAGTTTGTAAATAATAAAACATGGGAATAGTCAGATATTGAGATTATTATTTAAGTGAAAGACAAAAAAGGCAGCTGAAGCACTTTTTTGGCTATAAAATTACATGTGATGCGGATGTGGTGTGAATAAAATAAAGTGAAACAGCAAAGGATAGGCCCAAAAAGCATTGAAGATGATAAGTGGCCATTGTCTCCCATAGAAGAACCATTTTTTTGGCTGGGGTTAAATAGTATAGTAGAGGCTGACTTATAATTCTGAAAATTGGTGGCTGGCCAAGGGATCGATGGTTAGAGAGCGTGTTCTTAAAGTCTTTCAAGGCTGCAACAACACTGACATACCTCTTTGAATCCATGATTATATATTCCCTTCAAAGTTAGTTGGCAAAGATGAAATTAACAGCCGATATACTCCTTACCACACTTTCTGATATTTCAACTTGTGTAGTGTTAACTGTTGCACCTATATACATGGATAGTAGATTAGAATTAAAAGTGAAGACTACCTTCATAAAGCTCCATCATATACCATGAATACCATAAAGCACAATGCATGTGCCTTTCATCATTCTCTAGAATAATACCTTTGCAGCAGCTTCCCTTTTTAGCCATAGAGGATGGAGCATTGAATAATACCTTTTTATCTTGAAGAAAATTATAGTTGATTAAGTGACTAAGATAACTACAATTTCTCATATCTTTTCAAGGCATTTGTTTGATATATAATATTAGCTTAGACTAACTTCTTTCCTACTAATTCTACAAGTACCCTGAAACTATACCTAAACCTAGTTGCTACTATACATGTTTGAAATCAATGTAAATATAGATTACCATAAGAGTTGCAGAAATCGTCATTATCTTAATTTCTTTTCTCTTGGAAGTGTCAAGTCCTTATTTTTGGTATTTCTACATCATCTGAGCCACTGTTTTGTACTAACTGTGAAGAGTATCTTAACCCAGTGATGCTCAGAAATGAGAATTTCCTTAGTGTATAGACTGCTTTAGTAAGATTAATAAAAACATCTACAAGAAAGGGATCTTTAGCTTGCCCCAGGCTACAATTGCTTCTCTTCAAATAGAATAATTAAGGTTCCTTTATAAATTCATTCTTTTCTTCTAATCCAACTAAACTATAGCTTATCAGCTATACATTATTATATTTGCTTCAATTATACCCCTATACATGGAAGACAGCAAAGCTTCAAAGCTCAAGGAATCAACCTAACCTTGCAATGATCTAGAAGGATAGTGTCATCTAGCTGGTAGTAGTTGTTATTCTTAGAAAAAACAATAACATTTTACAGAAAAAGAAAAAAATTTAAGCACTCATTGAATCATTGCTTAGCTAAATTTTCGCTAACATATTGCGTAAATTGTGTTCAAGCATATTGCATATCAGAAGTTCATATGATCAAAAGCCTAAACTTGCGAAGCACGTCTAATCTTATGGTATATAGTTCACATCATTTAACCTTCCACTTCATGAAGACTTAGAACTTCCTTTTTACTGCTATACGTCTGATTTCTCATGGCAATCCATAATTGCATCTTAATGCAACATCATAATTTGATTGAAGTAAAGCAGCTATTGTTTGCTTTAATAAGCAGGAATTTCAGTGGCAACACTGATAGGTTGATAATTCTTTGTGGAATTGTAATAGTAGCATAGCTTGTGTAGTCCAAATTTTCACCTTTTATCAATTTTTTTTGTTTAAATTCATGTTTAATTTAAGCTCTAAGTTTCAATACAACTCCACCAACTAAGTATAACATGTTTCATGTTTTTAATTTAGCAAATGTACATACTTTTGGCTGAATGGTTATCAACCCCTGTATCTGCACATATTTAGTACTGAAGATATGAAAAATTAGCTGTTAGTAAGTAATTAGACTCTTGTAGCCTAATATATGACCTCCTTATTTTCCATCTTGGTTAAAATATATACCAGGAATCCATGGTGTTGCTTATAGAATGATAGCCAGTTTAGTTACAATTTTCACCATCTTGATCTATGTTCCTGTATAATTTAATCTCTATACTGGATGCAACCCCTCAAACTGAAACTAAATTTTTCATGTTTCTTGTTTACCAAATGCACACTTTTTTAGCTGGATAGATATCTACTCTGCCTTTTGCGTGGATACCAGGATAAGATATTCATTAGCTATGGTAGAGTAGCCTAATTTATGACTTATTTCTGCCATCTGTATACCAGGATTTTGATGGAGTTGATCATAGAATCAGTAACATCTTACTGTTCTGCTTGCCAAGAATTTACAAGCAAAGGAAAGAAAAAAGGAGGGAAAAAGTAAGAATTATCATGCATATTGATTTGAAATAATGCCTCCTTGTGGATTACTGATGAAGTGGTTCTAACAGAAAAGCAGGATCATTTTCTCCTAAAAGAAGTTAGAATAGGTTTATATCAAATTCAAGAGTTCACTTTCTTGCTGAAGTCCACATGCCCAAGCAATGTCTTAATACATTTTGTATTGGTAAGAAAAACAGCACATAAGTGACTATTCAAAGTTAAACTGTTCATGTACTTATCTCAGAATTATCTGATATGAGTCATATGTGGACAGTCTTTTACATAGTTCACAAAAGAAAGTTTCGAATTGATCTTGATTCTCTGGAATGTTTGACATTAGAAAAAACTGGTCTCTTCCTTTGCATGGCTTTTAGTAACCAAAAGCTCATGAACCACTTGTAGTAAGATATTGAGAATAGCCTGTTTTGCCCCGTTGCAGATTGTTGATTATCCAAGGGCATATGACCAGTTCTTGTCAGGCGGGACCAAGTTGAATGTTTTCATTAAGAATTTGATTAGGCAAGGATAGCCATTTGATGCTACTAATGAAAAGTTAATGATGCCACACTTAAATCACCCAAAGATATGACTTTGGCTATTTTATTAGGGGAAAGTTATTATATATCAATCAGTATACATTTACAGAAAATGTATATAATTGACAGTTTAGTTAATGGATATACCTGATCATGATCAGAATTGGTAAAATATGTACATTATTGACAATAGCAATTAAGGCATGATTGATGAAACAGATATTCATTTACCTCACCACTGTCCACTGTATTGGTAACAATTATACCTGTAATCAACAAATGCTTATTGCTTTGTATTATGATTGTGTTGAGCAAAACTTGTACATTACTCTCTAATTATCCGCATTAATTATCATTTTATGTAAGAAAGCCATTATTATGTTAGTGTTACAGGTTTTGTGCTTGAAATTAGAGAGGTTGACAATGAAAGTAGTGATTTGGTTATGATTATGAATGTATGGTGATGCTAGCTATGCCCATACGAGATAGGATATACCCATAAATTGCACAAATTGGTAATCAGCTGAGCATCCTATCTTCCAGTCCCATGTCATTAATTCTGCAGTCTTTTCCAGAAACAAATTCAGCAATAAATTAAGGGGAACCATTGGACCTAATGTTTATTTACTTCCCAGCTCTTCATCAAGTTTTCACTTAGGTTTAGCAATTTTTTTATTTTTTTTTATTTTGGTATTTTAGTCCAGTAATTTATCAACAAACCACAGGGCGCTTTCAGTTAGGCTAAACCTTTTACAGTTTTCACAGAAATGACAATCTTATACATAAGCTCAAGTCATACGGCGTCAAACTTTCCACTGCGTTGCATTTCCTTGTTTATTGCAATAATGTTCAATAGAAGCCAGTTAGCACCTCTCATCTTAATTGGAGGGAGAGGAGACAGATATCCTTCCCTTTTGGGTTTTGGGATAAAAATAAAATTTTATTTATTTAGTTTATTTGTATATATAAAACAAAAGTTGAAAAAAAAAAACTGTTACTATTTAGTTTACCTGGCTTGACTCCGTGGCTGTATTGAGGGAAAAGACAACGTGCAATATTGAACCAACAATATTGTAGGAGAAGCTGCATTCTATACTAGTCTGTCTGCAGTAAAAACATTTGTGTTGCAATAGTCCACGCGCAAGCCTGCAATAATTTATAATTTTTTCTTCTTCTCCTCATAATTCATAATTCAATTGGTGAATCCTAATCGACATTAGTGCGAGTGACACAGATCACTCCGTCTTCGTGCTTTTTTCCAATCTTCCAACTACTGCCTGCTCTCTCAGGAGAAACCAACTAGATCTCATGTAATAAATTAGTAGCGGCCTCAAATTTTCTTTCTTTTATAAAAAAAATATATATATATATATATATATATTTATAGAGGAAAATGTTATACTTTTTTTTTATCGTTGAATGATTAAGTATAAATATAATGATGTGTCTTGATTTTGAATGTATACTTATAATTAATTAAGGAAGTGGAAACAACATAAATATACGACTTAAGTGACCAAATATATAAAAGATCGCTTATAAGTGAATTTTAGGGCAAGTCTTTCATGGTAAAATTTCTTTTCTTTGTAGCGACAGTAAATGTAAAAAATAGTTTCTTATTAAACCTAGTATATTGCTAGCTTTCTCTCTTTAACAGTTCCTCTTATTTTGGGTTTTTTTTTTTTTTTTTTTTTTAATTATTTGTCCCTGATAAGTTAATTTTTTAGGAAAATTCTACCTCGGCAGAAAGAAAAGTTTTACGGTAAACTCTCATTTGGCACACTTTCTATAAGCTTTTGACCAATTGTATTGTTTTTGGGTTTGAGTTATTTAAGATTGGTATTTATTTTGGGGTTTAAACACTTTCAGAGTTGGATTATTTCAGATAATTTATTTCGAGTTTAGGCTATTAGACACTTCTAAATTTGGGTTATTTCAAAGTTAAAATAATTTTGAATTCAAACTGTTTTAGATTCAAATGGATTTGAAAATTCTGATCATTTTGAAATTTTATAAATCTTTGTTTTATAACATTTGTTTTTGTAAAATTGAATGCAATAATTAATTTCACATTTTATTGTTTCACATAATCATTAACTAGTTTAATAAATTTAAGATGAAAATGTGAGAAAAATATGAAACTTAAATTTTACAATATTTATACAAACATAAATTGCTATATTTTATTTTATTTGTTCATTAACTATCAATATACATTTGATATTGTCTATTATGCTTTTTAGTTTATCTTTTAAGTTCAAATAAAGATGTTTTTAGTTTATCTATTATGTTTAAATAAAAAGTATATATAGAAGTTCAATATATGTTTTTAGTTTATCT